GCTCCACCATGTCCTCCCGAGTTGTAGGAATTGCAGCGTAAACTTTTTCTTTCAAGTAATCCCACAGGAAGAAGTCTGGCAGATCGTTTTCTAGAAAATTCCGGTAATTTTCATCATTTAATGCCGTTCGCCAAAGGTACCGCACCAAACGTTTACCGACCAGGGACGCTGGTGCTCCACTTGGTGTCGAAATGGAAGGACGACATTTCGAACATTTGTTATAAATTGTTTTCAGAGCCGACTATAGTATTGTTGATTTAATGTTCATTTTTGTTTTTCAAACGTTTCAAATAATACATTTTACAGGGAAATCCATTTTTTTAAATTTTGAATTACAGCGCCATCTGTTGATGAATTGAAAAAAGTTTCAAATAAAAGTTATTCATTTTTTTATATACTACCAAAATCTGTAAAAAAAATGGCTATCCCATTTGACTCTCCAAAGTTACCCCCCGTTTCACCCTTAAGGGAGGGTAGTGGGTTGGCTAGCGGTAGCACCAAATAATGTCCCCTTTGGTCACATTAACCTTCTATTTTAAACATTTTTCCGTGAAATGCGTATTTCTCGAGATATTGAGCTGTCTCAAGTTAAAAGAAACAGCCTGTATCGGCGCAGTAGTTTTCAATGGATCAAATCATTTGATCCATCCATCTGAAAACTACTGCGCATATATGATGTATGGAGTAGTTATATGATGTATGGAGTAGTTACTCCACATAGATCTAACCATCTTGTACCTACTGCGCATGTCCGTCATTTTGAATCCGCAATTTTGTTTTTTTTAATGGATATCAAATTGTGAATCAGGGACCCCATAAATATCTGAATACTAAATTTTACCCAAACCATTAAAGCCGAACGACGAATTTTTGTCATATTGGATCAGCCATTTTATTTAAAAAAAATGGATATCAAATTTGTAATCAGGCCCTCAAAAACCACATGTTGTTGATAAGTTTATTGAATAAGAAATGCTTATTAAGCCTACAGGTTTTTGAAATTCTCGAGCGAGAGAGGGCATTCTCTCGTCTCGTCTCGAGCCATTTTTCGAGAGAAAATCGCCCTCTCGTCTCGTCGAGACGAGACGAGACGAGACGAGAGGCGAGAATCTCTCGTATCGGCGGAATCACTAGCAGGCAAGGCAATTGCCTTAGGCGCCACGTAGAAATAGGCGCCTTGTCCCCAAGAAACTTAAAAAAAATAAAAATTGTTACCAAAATGTTTATTTTTTCCAAAAATAAAACAAATAAACAATATACAATTGTAATAACAGAATATTATTTACTGTTTATATTATTTTATAAAAATTTAGCTTTCTTTGTAATAACGAGGTGTAAAGCCGACAAAAAAGCGTGCCGCAAATTCACTTCTGATTTTATGCCAAATACATAAATGTATTTCAGATAAAATTAATCAGGTGTTATATCACCATGCTTGATTACGGGGGCACTGCGTTTTGAAGTGGAATGAGATATTTTATTATTAACTGTATAATTAACAAATAATAATAAATCTTAACGTTAAAATGCAAACAAAAACTTAAAAAATAATTTAATTTGTAAACTTTACCCTGTATAAACATATCTTTAGCACTCTTTAAACTATTTCAAAACCCCCGTATGCTCCAAGCACACGGATTCCTCTTGCATCGGGTACCCGCTGTGATGTGCTGCTCACCCCAGCGGGTACGCGATACTAGAGGAAACTGCTGCCGGAAGGACTTGGGTGTTTTCGCGTTTAATCAAAAGTGGCACTTCTATGTGTTGTGTGTTTGGTGATAGCAGTCTGTGTTCGATAGTTATAAGGTTGATTTAGCCTGGCTTTTAAATTAAATTACGTTACGTTACACAAAATGCTGGCTAAATCCACATTTAGATAGTGTTAATTTTTCTGTTTGTTTTAAGGTATTTCTGAAATTTTAATATTAAACTAATTACAATAAACCCGCAGTACATCTAACATACAAATACAGAAAATTAAAGTTGATTTAATTTTTTTTTAAATACTTACTAATGACATCTTGCAGAAAAACGCACTTATAAGTCCTAACACTTTTTATTTACATTATATCTGTGTGTATTTATGTTTTTTATGTATTTTTTTAAATGATACAAAGTATTCTAATTCATAGGGAATAATTAGGTTATAATGCTCGGGCGCCCTTAAGCTAACAGTTTGGGGTGCCAAATTTTTAAGTGCCTAAGGCGCTCAATTGCCTTAAGCCGGCTCTGGTAAAACCCGCATTGTTATTTCAACCAATGGTCTAAGTTGCATTCGGTTTACAATTATAAATCTAATTAGAAATTCTAGTCGGTCTGACTATTATAATTATTAAATAGTTATTCAAACGTTTTATAGTTATGATAAAAACTACAAAACTTGTATTATAGGTAAATTTTACTATTTTTTAATGAATATAGAAACATAACATTTTAATTGGCAAATTATAATTTTAATGTTATAAATGACTATCCTAATTGTAAAGCCTGATTTATAGATTGCCTTCCTTCCTTCCTTCCTTCCTTCCTTCCTTCCTTCCTTCCTTTCTCCCGTAGAAGATGAACAATACGAAAATCGTAGTGCCATTTATAGATTTCCGTACGGGAATCTATAAACAGCACAACAGTTTATGTATCGTTATCTAGATAGAAGCTTCTACGGGAGGAAGGAAGGAAGGCAATCTATAAATCAGGCTTAAGTCTTACTATTGGATATCAACAATTTTCAAATGTTTGATTTTGCCACAAAAGTTTAGTCAAATCTACCAAAAAACAAGATCAATTTAGCTAAAAATTGTGATTATTTGATATACGATTTTTTAACAATGTGATTTTTTTAGTGCATACACTTGTACTATAGTACAAAATGGCCAAATAAAATATTCTTCCAATATATTCTGCAATATTGCATATTGTATATAAATATATATTTTAGTCAACTATAGAAAAAAAACAATATTTTTTTTCTATAATTATACAGTACTGTCCACACGTGCAGGGTACAGACCAAAAACAACGAGTTCGCGAGCTGCTCGTGAACAGCTTCCAAATTGTACCCGAGCAGCTCGCGAACGTGTTTCGGTGAGCAACTTCGTCCGAGTTCGTCGAGGGTTCCATAATTCCATAATTCAAATTTAAACATTCAAATAAAAATAATGTCATCGCTGAAAAGCGATGAAGAAAGCGTTCTAATAATTGCGTGTGCGGCCTATTTTTTAATAAAACAAAATTCTTCGATTAACCAAACAATATCCTCTGACCAGTCCATGTTTAAAACAGCTTTTTATTAAGGTTAATTATAATACCTATTTACGTTGTTAAAAATAATAAAAACCCATACTGTCCAGCATAAACTAAATAAATAAATGCCAAACCACAGAGGTTCTACTCTGTGTGCAAAGTAGTCAACGTCCACATGATACAAGGAACGTCCACACACATACTAAGCTCGCCACGTGTTTGCGAACAAACCCTTTGAAGTTACCGACTCGACCCGGAACTTGAACGAACAGCCGAGCTGTTCTAGAACTGTTCGCGAACTCGCGTACACACTAAGCTCGGAAAAGTGTTCACAAACTATTCGCGAATAGCTCGCGAACTTGGTCTGTCCTCCTGAACGAAAAAAGTTACCTATCAACATCGGACAAAAACCATTGTCAAGGATTTTAAGTATACTACTTTCTGACGTTTAATTAAGAGGTGCCTATTTAAGAAGTACCTATCAACTTACAAATTTCTGATATATCTAAAATCTGTTTAATGGTTGCTAATATATTAAACGTTAAAATAAAATTAATTATCAAATCAATTTTTTGTTTTAACTTAAGTACCTACAAGGTTTTCATTTATTAAATAAAATAAATTTCCAATTAGTCATTAAATTAGATTTTCGAAATAATTCCCTTCGACATTTTGACACAAAAATAGTCTGTTTCTAATTTCAGTTATCACATTTGGAAACGTTTCTTGTGTAATATTCGCACATTCACGTGTAATTCGTTGTTTAAGATCATCAATTGATTCCGATTCGGTGATGCAGAGCTTTGATTTTAAATAACTCCACAAAAAAATCAAGTGGTATTAAATCGGGAGACCGAGCCGGCCATTAGGTAGGACCACGCCCACCTATTTGGAGAAGTCTCATCAAGCCACTGTCTAACATCCCTAAAATAATGTGTTGGAATATTAGTTCCAAATTCTTCTGGATTAGCTTGAATATCTTAAGATATTCAATTGAATCATTTGATGAATTAATAATAATAGTTTATTCATGTCACTATATTAAGTAATTAAAACTTTATTATTAAATTTATTTTACAACATTATTCTTTACTATTATAAGCTTATTATAAGCATAATAGACAATAATATTTAAAACAGTCGTTTTTACTCACAATTTATTTAATGTGACGGTCGGGCCAAAAATTTCCGAGGCTTATGAAATGCCCTTTTTAGTTTTTTCAATTAAAAAATATATATTGTTATCGTATACCTTTTAATCCTTTAATGCGATACAACAATTATTGTAATCTCGAATAACTCGGAAACGGTTAATTTTATCGAAGATTGAGACGTAGGTACACCTTTTTAATAGTAGCCGAACTGAGTAATCGAAAAATTGCATAAAAAAACCTAACCCCACGTTTGTATGGGACAAAAAGCTTAGAGCAACCCCCGTTTCTACGACACTGTGTTCACTTAAACAATTGTAATTATGTGTGAATATGTGTAATGTGTGTAATACCCATTGTGTATGGGTAGTGACTACTACTAGTGAGTGACTGTTCGCAAAATGTCACCTTTCCAAGTCTACCATAGTAAAAATTATATTAAAAAAACTGATATGATAAGTAACACTTTATCACTCTGTATCTTGGAAACATACGTAATTAGGAAAAATACTTATTTAGGTTTTCGTGTTATTTTGACTTGCTTAATCTTTTACTAAATTTATGCCAATAGGTTTAGGGACAACTTGTATAAAAAAATAAATGTATAATATTTAATAACATGAAATATTTTTATTTACGTACTAATAATTCACATTTCAAAATAGTATTGTGTTAATGGATTGTTTTTGGATTTCGACGTTGATAACACCTTTATTTGATTTAATTTCAACGTTCTTAGAATATTGATCCCTAAAAAAAATAAATCAAAAAAAATTGAATTGAATCGAATTTGAACATTTCAAAAATTTTCAAAATGGTAGGAAAAATTCGCACAGTAGTTTAAAATTATTTTTTTTAAATTATCGAAATTAACAACATTTTAAACAAAATTCCCAACAATTTGGGAAAATGTTCCCAGAGTGGTTTAAAAATGTGGAAAAAATTCGTACAGTAGTATAAATATAAAAAAGGTGGTACGAATTTTAAGATTTACATAATTTTCTAAATTTACAAAGTTATCGAAATTTCCAAAATTTTGAACAAAACTCGCAAAGGGACATAAATTTGAGAACAAATTCCCACAGTGGTTTAAAATTTAAAAAAATGGGGGGAAAATCGCACAGTACTTTAGTATAAATTAAAAAAGGTTGTACGAATTTTCAAGATTTACATAATTTTCTAAATGTATAAATTTATCGAAATTTACAAAATTTTGAACAAAACTCGCAAAGTGACATAAATTTGAGAACAAATTCGCACAGTGGTTTAGAATTAAAAAATTGGGGTACTTTGGTATAAATATATAAAAATGGTGGTACGAATTTTCAAGATTTACATAATTTTCAAAATTTAGGAAAATATCGAAATTTACAAAATGTTTAAAACGATAAAGTTGCACAGTAGTTTAAATATAAAACCTGACAGTAGTTACAAAATTATGGAATTTTTTAAAATTTCCAAGGTTTAAGTTTCACTACAGCTGTGTATTTAAAACGCCCATCTAATTTTTGTATTAATTGAATCGTCTAATTTCAAAAGCGGTCATCTCCAATTTTTTTTTAAATGAGTTATTTACACCAATAAAATCGAAATATTACGTAGTATATTAGTGCAAAATTATATCCCAACAAAAACGGCTATTTGCAAGGAAAATAATTCATTAAAGTTTTATGTTAGTTTTAATAACGGCCATCTCCATTGATGTTTTAAGTACAAAAATGTACTTAAAATTCCCATTTCCCTTTTGAAATATATGTTTTTTTAATTAAAACTTAAATCTGGTTACTTATTTTGTAGAAAAAATATTTTTAGTTACCATATGAAGAAGTTTTTCAAAATATATTTATTTTTTACCCATTACTGTTTAGAATGTTTTTTTGACGTTTACTTAAAATATTCTTCAAAGGAGATGGCCGCTTTTGAAATTAGACTATTCAATTCAAGATATACTTACTCATTAAAAAGAAGGACTGCATGTAACCCATCAGGTCTTAATACTGCTACACTTTTAATCAACCCATTTTGAACATCTAAGACTTGAGATTTTGGTCTTAAGAATTTGGAGAAATGGCCCATCGCGTAGAACATGGGTTGTTTATAAAATTCACCGGCTGCACTGTTCGCTATAACCGGCGAATCAACTTTGTTATCGATTACACAGGGCCCACCTGATTGGTCGAGAACCATATTCCAGTCCACCCAACCACTGGCTCCATAGGCGAAATCCTAAAATTTGACGTAAAAACGGTTCAGTAAATATGACAACACCGTAATTACTGTAATGATATCCTTGATGTATCTTTCAGCTCTAGCCCAACTACCCAACTCCAAGGGCTCACCATTGCAAGCTTCAGTCCCAAGCAGGAATAACTCCTTTAACGTGGATTTTGTGAACAGAAGAAATTCACTTGGGGTAAGGTGGTTAGTATAGAAATGCAATGCAACGCCATCCACATATTGCATCGATAGAGGATTTTCCAAAATCTGAAAAATTTGGAAGAATGTCTGTAACTTTTTTGTTTTTGAAGATTTGGGCAACTTCAAAATGCAATTTAAAGAACGTTAAGGTATTTTGTAAGAAAAATAAAAATTCTTGATAAATTACTTCTGGCAACAATGGTAGCGTAACTGAGACGTCGTCGTGGACCATGATTTTTAAATTGTTGAATGATGAATTTTTTAGAGTTGGACCTAGATGTCTGGATAGCCATAGGTTCTGCAATTATAATGCTTATTGTGGTTCTAGTATCAATGTGAATCTTACCATTTGTAGGTTAGTGTATCCCATAGCGTTTATTTCTGATATAAACGTCGGTAGTAAGCCAATAAGAGGTTCGTTTTGTGTGGTTAAACCCCAAAATTTAATCCCCTTTTTGGCGTATTCTTCGAAGAATTTTACAAAATAATTCGCCCATGTTTGGTAGTACTCTATCTTCAAAAAACCAATTCCAGCATAGTCATTATTGGTTTTCATCCATGGAGGGGCTGTCCAAACACTGGCAATTAGTTCTAGATTGTTATTTGATAACTCATTAGCCTTTATTATATATGGTATCTAGAAAGAAACTTGCAGGTAACTTACAGTTAAGTAATACAAATACTATACCTTATATAGCAAGTCTTCATCCTGCAAGGCAAAGTATTTTAAATCAACATCACCCGCATGATTATCATCATATGTGTACTTTGTCAAAGAAAAGTCAGTGCCTCCAATAGGAACTCTACATAAGGTATACTCAATACCATCAGCAGCAAAATAGCTTTCCAGCAAATTGTCTTGTGCTGTTGAAGGAAGACTATTTATATTGAAACCTGTAGAACCTGTAAAAGCACCACCAAACCCAAAAACAGTTTGCTTGGGCTGGGAATTCGTCAGGTCTATTTTATATATAGAATAACCTTCACTGACGGACTGAAATATTTTGTAAGTAGGTAGATACATATTAAAAATATAAAGTTTTTATATTACTTTAATTTGTCCATTTGAAGTCGAGAAACCCAACGTTTGTGACGTTGTAGTATATTGTTGATATGTTCCTTCCTTTACGTATATTTGAGGTACAGTATCGCAATACGTTGAGTTACAAACACAGACATATCCATAGGTTGTGGTTTTTTGACTGCAGGTATTACCATAAACTAACAATTTATCTAAGTAGGTACCTAATTTAGATTTTCAAATAATAAAAAAGTACTTACCGTGATTTATAAAAAATGCTGCCAATAACAAAAAGTAGACTTGGTGCAGCAACATTTTCATTAGATAGTAATTGACTGTTCACAACAGCTCAATATTTAAACAATTTATTGAATAATTATTATAATTTACGATAAGTTTTATTATAATAAATTAGATATACTATTAAAATTGTTTTCTTTTCTTTCGTATACACGGTGGGGTGAAACATAATTGGTGTTCCAAAAAAGCTGCACTAAAAATTAGTACCCACACCATTGAAAATTTAAACTTAAATATTGTTTTGATCCAAAGTGCTTAATTATTTAAACAACATGATAAAAAAAATAAAAAAAATAACAAACACATCAAAATTAAAGCAATATTGAAACAATAGAATACCCAGGTGTGGATATAGAGATATTAATTAACTTTTGTCTTAATTTTGAGGTATTTTTTGAAACTAGCCCTAAAAAAATTTTTAGTTTCCCTGATAGCACATTTTATTCTAAGAATGTTTTTTAAACCTTCCAGTGAGAATATTCTTAGGGTCATGCTATATTTCTTCTAAAGAACATGCTTAAAAGACATAGATATAGCATGATCCTAAAAATATTCTTACTGGCCTGGTTCTTAGAAGGTGCAAAGTTTTAGTGGTAAAAATTAGTCTACTCTAAACATATGCTTAGAATGTTAAGAAAGTTATTGCTATAGAAAGTTCATTTAGTAATATTCCTGTTAAGCATATTTAGTTCAGTTACCTATACAATAGTAAAATATACCATAAACTAGGTATTAAATACTAAGTAAAAAACACAATCCAAAATATTTTTTTATAATTATTTCTCAAATTAAAACAATATTCGATAACAAAAATACTTTTACAATATATTTTTTTATGTTAAAAATAAATATTTATTAATTTGTATACCGATTTTTTATTTTTGAATTAACATTTTTATGTATAATAATCCTATCTTCAACTTCAAATAAATCTGACTTATCCCACAAAATTTTCCAATTTTACTTTTTATGAAATAATGTCATACAACTTAGTTTAGAAATCAAATTGTTTATTTAATATTTTTAAATAAATATATTTAATATGTCGCAAAATTTTTTAAGGGGACGACAAATACATTTCACTGTCATATTATAACAGTGAGGCGTATATGTCGTCTCCTGAAGAATTTTACGAATGTAGAATACAACATATTAGAACAGGGACCATACAATGTCAGCATATATGCTATAGCTAAAAACTAAAAGCACCAATGAGTCAAAAAGTATTTTTCGCAACTTATTGTTTAAAAGCTGTCTTTGGGCATAAATTAGTTTTAAATTTTGAAAAGCTCGACTCTCGAGCTCGATGCTAAAAGCTTTAATACATTTAAATTCATTTTAAAGGAAATGTTAATAAAAAAATGACCTTAAAGAAATTTTAAAATAATTATTCAAATTACAATTTTTTATATTATAATATAAATAATTATTGTTTGTTTGTCTAAAATAATCATTCTAATCACAATTTTTTATATTGTTGTTTGTTTGTTAAAAGTTTAATTTTTTAATAACATTTTGTGTGTAAACATACTTTTTAGCTAACTTAAGTTAAGATAATTATCTGTATATACATTAACTGTTTTTTTTATGTAGGTACCTATATATTATATGTTATTATGATTTCTGTGGCTAAAAGGCATAAGGGGATAAGTCAAAACAAGAAATTTTTCAGTGGAGCCTTAAACGTGTTCGCATTAATTTAGGAAATATATTTATGGTTAGTGGGTATACGCTTTTGGTAGCACATGTCATATGCTACCAAAAGGGTATACCCGCTAACCATAAATATATTTCCTGAATTAATGGGAACACGTTTAAGGCTCTGCTGAAAAATTGCTTTTTTGACTTATCCCCTTATGCCTTTTACCCACAGATTTGTCCTATACAATAATTAATTTTCTTTTCGATCAATAAATATTATTATTATTAATCATTCCAGAAATATGCTGACTAAACCTAAGGGTGGAATCAAAAATCACACAAAGGTTTTTTGTATAATCAATGAAAGTAAGTGAAACATTACCTATAGATTTCAAAAGAATTTTTATATCGGAAGCAATCCATTTTTTTGCCACAAATAAGTACTTTTGACTTTTCTGCATTAAGAGTCAGACAATATATTCGCCAAATCATTATTTATTAGAGCCTCATAATGGTGAATTTCTTGTGGTTTAAAGGATGCGTATAATTGGGTGTCATCTGCATAAAAGTGATAATTACAATGTTGTATATATGAGCCTAGTCGTGATGTATATATTATAAATAACAGGGGTCCCAGAATTGATCCTTGTGGAACTCCATTTCTTAATAAAAAATCTTCGGATGTTGCATTTTTAAAACTACATATTGTTTTCTATTGGACTGATAGTTTTGTATTAAATGTATGCATAAATTCATTAAATTAATGTAGGTACTTTAATATAGCAAGCAATCAGTCACGTTCGAGTGTTCGTCAAAGTTAGTCGCATCTTACATCTTGCCGTCGCGCTCTTGAAACTTACAAACAGCAATGCTCGCGACTCGCGTGCGGGAGATCTCTTGAAACGTAAAAGTTTAAAGATGAAACCAACAATAATTTAAAAAAAAAAAGGGGTGCGAACTGATAAGTGAAACAAACATTTTCATGGAGTGCAAGCTAAAATGGTGTAACGGTCATTGAGGAGCGGAGTGTTGGGTGATATGAATGACTTGGGTGCCACCTGTCATTGGAGGCTTATCACTGGACGGACGGGGGAGGTCGGAGAAGAGGGGAGGTGACCATCCGCAAGGGGAAAAATCTGATAAGTTTTACTTTAAGAGTATGCATGACCTGATACAAATCTGCAATATAAATACGGCAGATCCCAACAAGCATTTTCCGTTATTTGACACCATTAACATTGCCCGTATTCATTTCATTAAACATAACATTTATTTTACTTGAAAATGTTAAAATGACTTTAAAAATGATTATGTTAAGAACATATTTTACTCTTTAAACAATTGTTTTGTTTTAATTACTATCATTGCAAAATTGTATTAAAAAGTGTTAAAAATTCTTACACGGGCAATGTTAGTGGGGATAGGTATCGTTAAAGTGTTTATTGGGATATCTTTAAAACCTAAGAAGGGCACGCAGCGTGGGGCAATAAGTCTGTCAACAGCAAATGCGTAAGGCGGTCCCAATCGAGCCGGAAAATAAACACTGGACTGACAGAGTAAACTAACATTGAACAAAATTCTAACACATTATAAAAAGGGCCTAATAGCCAAACTCGAGTTTGTAAACATTAGACAACAGAATAATCGCGCTTGTGATTTGTTTGACTAGTGAATAAATGCAATGCTTTGGAATTTGATAAACAAAGACGGAACTCTACCACAAAACGTGCTTGGGACAAAAATTATTAAAAACAACTGACACACTTTACCAAGGGCAGGAACTATCTGACCAGGACACGGACAATGACAATAACGAACAAGACAAAGACATCGACTAGGAAACTACACCCCTGCAGCGAAATAACAACTCCCCAACTCCAAATAGTGATCCCAAATGTTTGGAGTAATACTAATCGACTGGTCTAGGGGGATTCCGCGTCGTACTTAGTTTTAAGTCGGCGTAATTGTCCCCCAAAAACCAACTCCCTCCCGTCCCTCATCCATACCCCACCGAGCGTATAGCATAGGCTCGGCGAACCCGGGAATGGCTATTATAACTATTCGCCTCTCGCTCTCGAGCCCCAAATAGGGGACAGTACGTAACGCAATGGACATTCGCACCCAGCAAACACGGGTGAAGCCGTGCAGTTGCTGGGGAAGAACAAAAATCGGCGTAAGTAAACATAGGCCTGTACGGGGTTCGAGAGTCAAGAGGAAATGGGGCTGGTTATACGTCTCTTATACTCATATACTCATACTCATACTTTAATATAGCAAGCAATAGTTTATGGTTTAAACGAGCCTTTAATCAAGCAAAACTAAAATTGTGAGCTTACCCTGGTCGGACGCTGTAAGAATATCATCAGTAACTTTAAGTAATGTGGTGGAACAACTGTAGTGTTTCCTAAATCCGGATTAATTATTAGGAAGTAAATTATAAGAGTCAAGATCATTTTGAACTTGCTTGTTTAAAATTTTTTCAAATGCTTTTGACAATACATTTAAAATAATTATTGGGCTAAGTTCCCTATATTCTGAAGGGTTATTTACTTTAGGAAGCAGTATCACACTTTCCATATGTCTGGAAAAACCGAATTTTCTATGCAATAATTAATATGGTGTGTGATAATAGGCAAAATAAATGGACAACAAGGTAAAATCATTTCCACTCCAATACCGTCTGACCCTATTGCTTTGGATTTAATAGTATTTAAAATTTTATAAATTTCTTCCTGATTGCTAATTTGCGTTTGGAGCTTTATTTTCTGGGTAAAATTTTATATCCGTAGTTATCGCATTTTTGTAAGATTTTGTGTATTTGTGTTTTTATTGTGTATTGTTTCTAAGGTTTGTATATACTATATATATTATAATAATAATTTATAAACGACACTTTGACCGAATCATAATCTTTCAGATGATAGGCACACTGAGAAAACAGTTTATTTTTTATAAAGCAGTTTTATTTATATTTAATAAATGCTTTATTGCATATAGGGTTAATAAACATCCCATTTTAAAAAAAATTATTTATTTAAAACAAATTTATATTGCATAAAAATAAAACCTTTGTTAATAATAAACAAATTTAAAGCAATAAAAATTGAATATTTATTTATTGTAAAAGTATGTTTTTTACACAAAACTTTGAAGATACCCCTGGCGAAAATAAAGCGTGCATGAAAAGTGTGCAATAAGTGTGTATTTGGAGTGCAATCTTTATAGCAATGTGCACGCTACTTTGTGGTTATTTCACACTTTTTGAAATAATTAAGTTTTTTCACTCTTTATGTACCTACATTGACATCACGCGTTTTATTTGTCATATGTCACGCTTATATTACATTAGATTTTAGTACATTGTTTGCACAGTGTTAGTACATTGTTT